TTCCGATCTCCCCAAAACCCCAAAACCCCAATCCCATTAGCAAATTAGTATTTCTGATTCATATAATAAATAGTATGTGTAATAATATAATATAATAATATGTCGTCATAAAAATAATACATTTCTATTCTATTCTTAGTGCTCTTCTTAGGGACTATTGAGAGCTAGATTTCAAAAGAATTCCAGTTTATCCATGATTAATTACAAGATAAATTAGAGGATGGTCCACACATGTCAATGTTTTAGAAATGGATAGATAATTTAGTTGAGCTCTATGAGATAGTTACTGACAGTGATGATTATAAACGCAAGAGTAGGATAAGCCATGAAAAGTCAGGAGCGCTAAGGTCAGGCGAGGGTACTGAGGCAGAGATTTTTGAAAAGATTAGGAAGTTGGAAGAGAGGAAAAAGTATAAAAAGATGCTTGATAATAAATAATTTTCGAATAACCCTTCTGAGAATTAGAAAATATACGAGATCTACCTTGAGGAATTCAAAAGATAAGTAAAAAATGATAATATTGACCTAGTTCCTGTGCACATCTTTGAAACACCTAGAACTGAGAAACACTTTGCTGCTAAAAGTGGTCACAGAGTCTTGTAAGAAGCAGAGCTTCAGAGAAACGTCATCAAGAAGTTAGTTGAGCCCTATCCAACTCAATGCTACAATAGTGGAAAACTTGTAAATTAAACTTAGAGATACTACGAATGCACGAAATAGGATGAACCTAATTCAGAGAAATTCAGAGTTACTTTAGAGACTTATAACTTTTTTCAAAATCATACTCGTCATTACTAATGCACTACTTATCTTAAAGAAACTCCCGTGTGTGTTTGTCCTAAAGGTTATTATGAATATCAATGTGCTTTATAAACTTAAACTAAATGCTTTGTCAAGATCACATCCCCTGCTTTCTACAAAGGATGCAAAGGAGAGGATTCCCCAGCTTACATGTACTCTATTCCAGGTTTTGATCCATGCTTCCCATTGAACTTCTCAGAACCGCAAGAAATCAAGTACTAGCTTATATGCTAAGGTCAAGATGATACAGGACTAATAGATGTAACTAGAGAAAATGTAGGTTATGCTTATAGAGATGTCGTCAAAGCACCCTAATATGATGCATTCCATTATATTGCAACTAACCCAGAGACAAAATTTAGTATCATGAATGCAGAAAGCATGAAAGTTTAGTTTACGTTCCAAGACTGGAAATGGCTATCATAAACAACCAAATTCGGTGATGATGTGAATGACCCACTTTTGTTAACTGGATAGTCTGAAGGATCACTCATGATTGATTTCAGCAAGCTAGAATAGAGTGATGCCACAGGTGATAGCTACTATGTAGTTGGAGGAAGAGCCTACTTTGAGGCTGATGTGCTTGGACTATATGTTACATCTTTTACATCTAAAGGTTTCTTTGACAAGTTAGGATATGTAGAGCCACTAGCAGATGATAATAAAGATTTAATTCTAGCCCTAGAAATAGCTATACCCCTAGCAGTTGTTATTATTGGAGGTATAATCGCATACTGCTGCTGTGTACAGAAGAAAAGAAAGATGCCAATACATGACGATTGAAAGTGAAGTTACTATGAATCATTTCTAGTATCACTAACTCCCTTAATAATAAATAATCAATAATTTGCTTCATAATTTTTCTAATTTCTAATTCTTTTTATTTCTAATACCATAAACTGATTAATCAAGGGGTTTTGGGGTTTTGGGGTTTTGGGG